GGTAAATAATTTCATGAGTTCTGGCACCTTTTTTCTTACAGAAAAAGCACTGCATAGCTATATATTTGATCTTCCCTTGACAGCTTGCCTGCTCTGGCAAATTCTCTAGGTGAGGCTTTCCCTAAGGCAAGGGTGGGCCACACGCCCCCCCATGGCCCTGCCACCCTTACACTGCTGGCATTGGGTAGCCGCTGCGGCAGTCTTGGATCAATAGGCTGAAATCCGGGGGCTGGTCAAGAGGCCAGCTTCAGCTTGCTTTCCTATCAGGTGTAGCCCCTTTGACTCTCTGTCGTGGTTCGCGTCTGACTTTTGACAGCATGCTGCTGGCGTGCCACCCTCCAGGATGATGGGTAAGAGGCCCCTAGACTACCGAAACTGCCCGAAAATCAGACGCAAGTCCAGAGCAAGAGGCTTTAGAGGCCAGGTGTAACGTCAGCCATGAGGTTTGGCCTTGCGTGACTTTAAGAAAGGACCAAACAGCCAGCAAGCAGAGCGAGGCCCAAGGAGGGAGCTGGGGCATGGATCCTTTGTCCCCCACAGACCTGCTCTGGATTAGGGGGCTCAAGCCGGCTCCCAGCCAGAGAAAGCCACATTGTGTAACTGACCTGGAGTGCGTTTCAGCCCCCAGTGCAAAGAATTGTTCGTATTTAGGGGCCAGGGCTCAGAGTGATGGGGAAGCTGATTCAAACGGAGCGCTGGAGCTAAGACGCAGCCATAAATCCATACGTGTTTGGGCTCTGGTGAGCCCTGTGGCAGAGGGGACACAAGCCCATGGCAAGCAGGCAGTCCCTTACTTTGTCAATTGCCTCAGGGGCCCCCACCTTCTCTGGGCACCTCTGAGCCCCTCCACTTAGTTACAGCCATCCCCGATGTCCTGAGGATATGAAGAGGACTGGTGAGTCTCCCTGTTGCCCCTGCCATGATCGGAGAATGTGGGCCCAATATTGTCTCCTGGTTGCACATTGTCGGAACAGCTCTGTGACTGCCTTCTGAAGGAGTTTTGCTGCCAAAAGAGGACTTTCATTACTAGAAGAATGTTCCTGTTTGCAAATAGTGCAAATGCATCCCATAGAATATAAGCACAATTGTCAGGAAATACCTGTTGTTTCCCAAACTTGCCTTCATGTTCGAAAGCACACCCTTGCTCAAATGCAGATTTGTGCAAATCTGCCAAAAAATGGCCATTTCCACATTTTAGCCTATGGGAGGGAATGCAACGTGCTTGAATGGGAGATGAATATTTTTTTAAAAATGTGTGTGTGATTGCACAGGAACACAGAGGAGGCAAATGAACTTCAGGGAAGAATTTGGAGAACGCAAGCATGGCCTGTTTGTCCATCCCTACTTCCAGGAACGAGAAGGAGCAATTCAGGGGAGAAGAGCCTGATGCTGGGAACGATTGACGGCAAAAGGAGAAGGGGACGGCAGAGGATGAGGTGGCTGGATGGGGTCCCTGAGGCAGTGGGTATGAGCTTGGGTGGACTCCAGGCAATGGTGGGGGACAGGAGAGCCTGGAGGAATGTTGTCCATGGGGTCGCGATGGGTCAGACACGACTTTGTGACTAAACAAAACAAAAAAACAAACTTCCAGGAAACCACAAGAAGTGGACCAGCATCCCCGGCCTGCGGCTCCTCCAGGGCTGGGAATGGCCAGCATTCCAGACCATTGGCTGGGGCGGAAGGACCAGAAATCCAAACAGCTGGAGGAGGAATCAGGTTGGAGGAGCAGAAAGAAGTCTGTTGAGCCAGAAAGCCGTGTGGACGGCTATGCCGACTTGACGTTCCAGAACCAGGCCAAACCACACCCAGCCCCGCACGAATGTGGCCAAAATGCTTTGCTGCTTTCAACACAGCAGGACCCACATCTTACAGCAGGTTTTCACAACCTGATACCCTCCAGCTGTGTTGGATTGCAATCCCATCATTGGCAATGCTGTCTCAGGGTGATGGGAACTGTTGCCTAGCACATTGGAAGCTAGGAGCTTGGGGAAAGCTCTCCTACCAATGCCCATTTTAAATGCTTTGCTCTTATCTACCCTACTCTCTGGCCAATTCATCTTAGCCCGTGTTATCTCCAGAGCCATGGCAAAAGATGTCACAGTTCAGAAGTTGATCTAATACTGCAAGACAGCCAGCTAGATCCAGCACTCATCAACAAAACATGTGTGGAGTCCAAAGCAGGTGCCAGTTTTGCGCAAGAGTCTGCAAAGCAGGAAGTGTCTTTTTTCCAGCAAAACTCCTGCAATCGATTGCATTTCAATTTCTATACCAAAAGAAGAACAAAAACCATCACTTCTAGTTTGCAATGGCAGGTTATGAAATCTTCTTCAAGAAGCAAAATAGCCAGTGCTACACCACTGGGAAAATCAATGGGGTATGGCTTCAGCCTAAAGACAAAGGGGGACAATTCATTTCAGTGGACCTCAGACAAAAGATTTCACTTCTAATTGGACCCCTTCCTAATCCATAATTATGTATCACTTGGGGTTGTCTCTCTTTTATTCTATATTTCCAAGTTATAATAGCCTCACTAAACTCTACTAATATTCCAAGTGCTAATTTTTAATAATACCTTGTGGCACAGAATCAAATGCATTACATAAGCAATGCATTTTATTAGCATTGTCTTTAATCCAGTAACAAAATCAAACATGTTTGACTGGGCCCAAATTTTCCACCCATAAAATGATGGCAACTGTAATTAATTTTCCTTTCATTAAAACTTGATTGATTGAGCCCTTGTATCAAATTTTCCAGTGGGCATGGACGAGGGAGGAAGCTGAGATCAGTACTCAGCTGGGCTGGAATGATCAAGATTACCCAACTTTTCCATCGGAGTTGGCAGAAGCTTCCCCTTTGTCTGGCTTCCTCTAATTTCTCTTGCATGTCCTAGTAGAGGGTTCAGGTGGAACACGGACTCATCCTGGTGATTTGCCATGATGCCTTGGTGGGGCCTGGTAGGACCTGCCTAGGTAGACCCAGGAGGAGTCCAGCAGACAATCAGGCCCATCCTCAATGGTCCAACCCTCTCTTTTTAACTCCTTTTCGTAGCTTCTCCGTGAGAGCTGCACGTTTCCTGGAATCTGAAAGGGCAAGCCCGTTTCAGTTTGCCGCAACTATGGCTCGTGCCTCAAAGGTCTTCTTCCAGCGGTTGCCCATGCGCATTGCCCCAGATGAGCCTGGAAGTTGACCTTGCTGTGCTTCACAGCACCAGCCTTGTCCGTATGAAGGGCAGGAAGAAAAAATTAAACCATCTCCCACGATGCCGGAGCAAGCCAGCATCTCTAAAGTTGGCTGTCAAGGAATCTAGTTCCAAGACCACTCCGTGCCACCATGGAGTGCTGAAAGGTCTCATGGTGCCAGCCTGGGATGGCAAGGCAGGGAACCCGTTGGCCAGCTTACCCTCCAGTGGACCCCAGTCATGCTCACCCGGCCCAGCTTGCCCCAGCAGCAGGTGTGGTGGGGAGAAGACCTCTCCTGAGGGGGACGGCCTCTCTCCTCCACACCACTGGGGAGAGGCACACCGTGGGGATCCGAGAAGGCTCTGCCAGCCAGCCATGCCAGCCCAAATCCCGTTCCCCTCCCACAGGGGCACAATGCAGAAAAGGGCGAGGGAGAGACGGCCATCCCTACCACTGCAATGCAGGCCGCAGCTGGTTATGTCTCAGGAGCAGTAGTACTTCTCCCCCGGATTAAAACGGCATCAGCAAAGCGGAGTTTAATTCTCTGGCTGAAACTAATCGAGGTCTTGATTTGGGCTACACTGGCTTCTTTCAGCAGGAGTGAGGGGAGTCAATTCTCTAGGACTTCTTTTGCAGAACACTTAGGACACTAATGAGTTAAGGTGGCCCTTGTACCATCCTCCTTCGCCTCATCTTCCATTCCTGCTCTTGCACCCGCTTCGGCTTGCATTAAGGTCCATTTGCAGCTTCCTAGCTCCTGGGGTGGGTTTGTCTTTAGCTTACTGGGTGGAGAACGGGAAGTGCCTTATTCCCGGGGGAGCAGGAAGGGATGTGGGCTGGATTCCATGCAGCACCCAGCTCCTCTTGCCTGCCTGCCCCTCCCCAGAAGTACCACAGGCTCCCACTGCCTGGGCCACCAGTGGCCACCCAAAACAGACACACTCCAGATGTGTGAGACCAACAGATGTCATCACCCCCAGCTAGCATGATCTTTGCTCCTCGGTGGTGTTTACAGAGTCTTTTCTGTAGCAGCCCCCAATTAGAGATCAGAATACCCTATTCTCTGATTACTTTTAGGAGGGCTGTAAGAACATTCTGTTTTCCAAGGGAGGTATCCTGGTATCCTCCAGATGTTTTGAAGTGCAATGCCCATCATCCCCAACCATGGCCCATGGCGGCTGGGATGAAGCCTAAAACGGACCCTCCTTCATTCTCCAAGTCAGTTCGGGGGACGAAACAACCTTCCAGGAGCCATGTTTTCCTTCGCCAGGCCCAGAGGCCGTGGAAGCACTACCGGCCAAGGCAGCTCGTGGGCCCAGAGTGAAGAGCAATGGAAGCCTTGGCCGAGAAAGCCTCCATCCGCTCCTTGCAGAGTCAGCTGCAAACAAGCATTCTACTTAACACTCTGCCCCAAAAATCCAAGTGCCCAACTTTGGCTGGATCATGCCTTGCATTTATTTCTTTATTTTTCGTCCAGCGTTCCGTGTGTTTATTTCGATGTGCGATGCCAGGAAGAAAAAGCCACTGATAAGAAAGTATCTGGGCAGCTCAACAAGTTATCTGGTTTGACCTCTCGAGAGCAGAAAGGAAAGTGTTGTCACGCCGAAGAGATGCAGAGGTCAAGCGACACACACAGTCAGCCAAGGACTGTTTTTAGAGTGTGTCAGAACCAGGGCAAAGTGAAGACAGACTAGACTTAATCCTTTAACCTAACCTGTCAAGAAAGCATCAAGCCAGCCTGCCAACGCTGCAACCACCTCATAACTCAAAAAGGTATGCATGATCGCATTTATGCATTTACGATTGGTAAAGGGATTTTTACAGCTTGATATTCAAGGCATCACAGAAGCCACGGCTCTCAGTCTGAAAACACAAACAAAGAAAAATTGGAGCCATTCAGCTAAACCAGTAGTAAGATGATAAAGCTCTACAAACAGAACAATGTCCAAAGGTGAGCATTAACAGGTCGTTTAATTCAGATAGATCCCTAATAATTTAATAAACAGAATAAATGTACAGTTATTTGTGCCATAAAAAACCAAGAATGCCATGCCCCTTAATATAATCTTTATGCGCAGGATAATGCCTGGCTAATTGTGTGAATGTTTATTCAATGCATGCATAGACGTAATAAAAATGGTGCAACCAAAGATAAAACTGATTCATTGATCTTGGAAGGTAGCATAACATTACTGGTCTTAACAATGATCCCCTTTGGAAGGCTCACATATCTATAAACCCATAGAGATGTTTCATATTCACACAGATTTATGGTTCCCCGTTTTAAAATATGCATTTATACTTTTAATTTATCCTTGCATATAGAATTAATGATTTATTTACTTACTTGGGGTGTAATCAAGCCAGAATAAAGCACTTTTCAGAACCACTGATTTCAGTGTGAAGCATTTCCTAGTCTTGTAACTCCATTTGTGTATGCATTGTCAATTTATTTTCAATAAAGATTAATTAATGCAATGAATGAAGAGTTGTGTTTGAGGTCAGGTACACTTAAATTTCAGTGAACATCTGTTTGCTTATTGATGGATGAGGTATTTATTTATTCTCCAATTTTCAAGGAAAAACCCTGCATGAAGCAGCTTCCAAAATAGCCAGACCACATAAAAACAAATTTTAAAAATATAAATTTGGTGTAAAAACCCAACAGCTTGCTTTGTCCCTTCTAGTTGTATGACTAAGATTCGTTATGGTGGTCATTTACCCATCTCAAAATAGAGGAACTGCAGGACCAAAAAAAAAAAAAATAGGACAGAAACAGGCAGCAAATTGCATTGTATTTGCATACGCAAATATGTAAGTATAAGTGGAAATTTGTAAAAGGTGGGATACACACATTTTAAATAAATAAATAAATAAATAAATGATTTATCTATTGCCACAATTCATCTCAGCTTAGTCAAGAAGACTGAACCCGCCATCGTCTGGGTATTCATGGGCAATTTCAGTGCCTTCCTTTATTCTTCCTGAGGCTCTTGAACTGGCCTGGACTGGCCAGCCTTTCAAACAGAGGACTGCTCTCTGTAAAGGAGAGCATCAGGCCATTTAGGGGAGAAAGGACCCTGATCCAGAGACTGCGGGTCCAAATGTTGACACCCTCTCTGCTGTCCTTCCATCAGCAGGCAAAGATGGCAGTCTCAGCATCTACTATACATAGTGCTAAATAAATACGACAGGCCTTCCCAAATTAGTTTTCTTTAATATGCTGTTCCCAATCAAAATTTGAGTTCTTGGTCGTAAGGTGCTGTCAACTACCCGGAGCCTCTGGGAATGGGGCAGTATATAAAACAATCGGCACGACACTTCGCTCTTGATGCCAGAAGTTTTTGAATTGTGCAATGCCTACCTTTTCCTTTGTTGTGGTTCACGTTTAATCGTAGTTTAATGTATTGGTTTCTATGGTCTGTTTTCGCTGAGTTTTATCACCGTCCACCTTGAGGACCAGTTTTGGACTGCAAGGGGACGGGTTAAATAAATAAATGGCCCAGTGCCCAGGCAGCTCCCCCAAGCGTTGGTTGGGTTGGCCACGAGGGATTAGAACTTGGATAACGCATGGAAAAGCTGGGCAGGTGCGAGATTCCAGGAGAAGGAATGTCCACGTCTTCCTTTCTCAGTCCTTCAGATATTAATCCCACCCAGCTGACACCCAGAGGAGCAATGCCCCTCCTTTGCCTTGCTTTGAAGGAGACCATGGTGGTGTCCAAGTGACTTGCAGAAATGCTTGTGGAGAACCAGTCTGAGAGGGACTACACCATGTATTTTGTTGATATTTAAAACTCATTTATTCCACTTCTGGCTTGTTTTACAGCATACTCATTCAGGGTTCAGTGAAGGGAGCAAAGAAGATTCAGTGGAGGTGAGAAACAAGATTCATAACCAAGTGTGATCTTAGATATATTCAAGAGTGGGAAGGCAGAAAAGGCAACTTACAATGGCTGGGTTCGGACATATGATAACACACACTCAGGTTGAATGTGGGTTGAATTTGCGTTGCCATTGCACTGCGGGTTCTTGCTATTGTTGATCATGGTCTCTGAACAGACCTGGTTTGTTAAGCATGCTTTGTTGTTCGGTTATAAGCTACAGGTTGTTCACCATGGATCATCACTTTGGCTGCTTTCAGACAAAATGCATTTCAGGTAGGGATATGGAAGCGATCTGGTTTCGGAATGGGAATCCATCAGATTTCCTCGGCTAAGTTCCTTGGATATCAGCCCACTTTCTCTCTTCCCGAAGTCAACCTCATGCTAAACATTTGCGTGGGTGTCCGGCAGGAAGCCAATCCAGGAGAAGACCCTTCACATCACACCAGTCCTCTTTCAGCTGCAATGGCTGCCAGGTAAGGTCCAGGCCCAATTCAGACCAGGCTGGTTCTAACACTTAGTGCCCTAAATGGCTTGGGGCCAGGTTACCTGAAGAAACATCTTGTCCCATCCTCTAAGACCATGCATGGAGGTTCTTCTCAGGGAACCTCCCCAAAAGAAGTAGAGGGGGTACTGACCAGGAGAAGGGCCTTTTCAGTAATGGCACCCCATTTTTTTGGAACATGCACCCTAGAGAGGTATGCCTGGTGCCATTTTGCTTTCTTTTCAGCACTGTGAAAAGCTTTTTATTTTCCAGATATTTTAATAGATAAGTGTTAGTTTTAATGCTGCATTTATTACTAATCATGCTGTGCAGTATTCACCCTGACAATGGTTGCTGTAGGTTATTGATTTATTGTAAAATGTATGTGGAATGCCAATGGATTTGGAAATGTATGTTTGCTTTTATCATTGGAAATGTAAACCACCCAGAAGGTTCTATGGGCTATGGGTGCAGTACAGAAGTGGAACGAAGATGAAGGTGGTGGTGGTGGTGCCATTGTATCAGTTGTATTCTTTATTGTGTTCCTTAAATAAACTGTAAGTTCCTTATGGGGGTTTTTTCATCTGTGAATCACCCAGAGAGCCTCTGCGCTATTAGGATGGTGTAGAAGTATAATGCATAAATGAACAAAGCAGGGTTTTGCTTCCACGCGCATGACTTGTACGTTTTGTGTACTTTGTGCAGAGAATTATGTGCTTTGCGCAAAGAAGCCCCCAGCATGTGCTAGTGTCCGCAGACTCGATCTCAGCTCGGCTTGCTTCCTGGCCAGAGATGCAGATGGGAAGGAGGTCCAGTGGACACACGAGAGCCGGATTCCCATCTGATCATCACATCGCAGTTGCATCAACAACCCCAACTCAACCCCGGAATGTGGAGATACCACACGGGCTGAAGCCTATCCATACGACCATTTCTCATGATAACTTTCAATGTGCGACATGTGCCAGACAGGTGGGCGATGCAGCTCTTGAAGCAATAACCGCTAAGGGTCTTCGAAACAGGTTGGTGCGCCCAAAACTCCGGTAAGCAGCGTTCAGCAACCGCCGCTCACACAACCTCCTGTCAAGCGCCCGGATTCCTTCAGAACGCTTACAATTTGTAGCAGCTGTTATCAAGCACGCGGCATGCATCGCAAGCTGGGGAACAGTTCAACGAGGGGATAAAAGTGAATTTCTTGTTTTTGCATTAGAGCTGGCAAAGAAGATCATGTGTTAATTAAATAAAAGACTAAATGGACAAACCTTTAAAACAGAAGCCATAACATTTAAGAATAAAACCAACATGGCAGGGTAAAGGTCAGAGAAGATCAAGTTAAAAGCTAATAGTTTTGCTTTTTTCCATTTTATTGATCAATAGGATGTTGGCTTTTTTGCTTTCCAGTGAAAATGCAACAACGGAGTTATTGCTGACCTTTCCTTCACCCTTCCATTGTGTATAAAATCACAGCGAAAACAACAACTTCATAAGTCACGCAGTTTTTCTAACAGAAAGAAGGCGTGTGTCCAGAAAATAATGTAAGATGTTTATATCCTCAGAAAAATAGGGCTTTTTGACAAAAGCACTTCCCTTTTAATTATAGAGGCGAGCGCCTCTTTGGTTCGGGGAAGCATCCGCTTAGAATCACCAATTGCATGTGGTGTGCGGAAAGTCCAGCCATCTCTCGATTTGGCATTTAAATGAGTCATTTGACAGCTCAATCCTGAACCCAGAAAACAAACAGAAAAAGAAATATTATCTCCATGATGGGGTCGGGTCCCTTAATAACTGTGGAAGAGGCGACTTGCATCCGGCTTTATTCACCAGCGTCGCACCGGCGTAGAACGGGGGAGAATGATGCATTTCAGACGACTGCCTCTGAAGAGGCAATCCTACGCATGTTTAGCCCGAAAAGGGTCTCTGTGTCCACCCAGTTATGGAGCCCAAACCTTGCCGGTTCCACTGACATACGTTCATCCATCCCACCTACCTGCAGTGACCCTCTTTTCCCCCTTGAATCTTTCTTCCAAATCTCTTGGGATCGTTGGTGCTTTGGGCTGAGGCTTTAAACCTGCATAGCCCCACCCCAAACACAAAATAGCTTGTTTGGACTCAGTCTTGTCATTTTCTATTTCCAAGCCTATCCTGTTCACATGGCTCTTCCGCCTGTTTTGTTTTTGTTTTGTTTTTTAAAGGAAGGGGGGAAATCACTGTGCAAAAGACAGGATGGTTTTTCATCCGTGGCTCTGGAAGCTCTCCATGTACCACAATCCCTTCATGCTCATCCCAAACTGGACTGAGACCTAAATAAGGATACCTGGACTTGCGTCTTTTGTTTTCCTGTCCTCCCTTCCCATCTTTCCCATGCCTTCCCGTGGGTAAACTCTAGGATTGCTTTAGACCACGGTTTTTACCATGGGGAAGGCCATCCAATGATGATTTCCCCATCTCTGGCAATATTGCAAAGCAGGGATTCGCAGCATCGTCAAGCCATCGTCTTGGCACCTCGACCTGCGCCTACAGCTGCTGCTGAAGAGACAGACAGGGAAGGTCTCTGCATTTTCCCTGAATGATAACACATATACCTTTGCAATAAAACTCTGGAAGCACTCTCCACAGAAATCAGGGGTCATAGATCACTGCAGCAAAAATGACGTCTGCACCAGCTCTTTGACTGCCTACTGAAAGGAAAAGCACTTGACACAATTTGCTATTTAGATATTCTAATTTTTCAGAGTTCTGCAAGCATGCGTTACACTTCCAAGAATAAACAAGGGCTCGACTAAGTTTGTCCCACTTTAAAGTATGACTCACTTGCAGTAAATAGTGTACAAGTGTACTCAGAAATGGTTCCCTTTGAATTTCATGGGGTTAATCCAGCCTTGCAGACTTAGTCTAGCTCCATCCATAGGATGTGTGCTCTGATCCACTACCCACCAACACAAGATTTGGGAGGTCCACACTGCCCACTGGGAAGCTCTGCTCAGCAGACTTTTCAAGGACCAATTTGTGGCCCTCCAGGTGTTTGACCTACAACTCCTATCGTCCTTCAGCATTGGCTGTGCTGGCTCGAACTGAAAGGATTTGTAGGCCGTACCATCTGGAGGAGCACAAGTGGTTGCAACTCCTTCTCTTCCTCAGCTATCAAGGGGTGAATGCACCCTTCCTTGTGCAAAAGAGGGGAAAGGCACAGGGTTCTAGGAGAGAGAAGGGGACCAAACAACCCCTTCCCCAGGGAATTTTCCTGTTGCAACCTCCTCTTCTTGTCTCCTGCAATTCATTCCAGCAACTGTCCTTCTTGGAATGGCTTAGGGCAAGAGCTCACATAGAAAAATAGAATGCTAGTGACTAGGAAGGTTGCTGACGTGCTAGTTTTCTATACACGGGGAACGTGCATGTTTCTTTACTTCGTGGATCAAACATGTAAGCCACACATGCTACATACAGGCTTGCATTGTCCAGGAAATGCTTGACCGTGTGATTGGGAGGATTAGCTGCATGGACTCATCCCAAGCCTTTCTACATCGCTGCGTGCATACCAGGGGATATTCAACAGCTATACCGGCACAAAATCCTGCAACTGGAGGTTGCATAGGCATTGCAACCTTGTAGATTTTTAGGAATTCAGTGCAGGACTTGCTTCACCAATGCAGGACAGAGGGAGTGAGAGAGAGAATATTCTATGGGGATAACTGTTTATAAGAAGGGAAATGAGTCTGAGAACAGTGTACCTATCAATCAGGGCTTGTGGTGAACCGATTTGTTAAAGTTAATAGAGCAATCTATAATGTAAGACAAATTAGTGTTATTAGTCTAGGTTTTATGGTCCAATGCAAGTAATGATATGCAGTAAAGCAATAAGAATAATTAGACATTATGATAAAATGTACTTTTTAATATGGGAAAAGTATGAATGTGTTTTATTTGGTGGTGTTCTCTCTGATATCTCCAACAATTTCTTCCGTAGTTGCCTCAGGGCATATGAAGAAAGACTCCTGCAAAAGAGATTCAGGAGTGAAATTCACTTCATATCAAAAAGCCAAAAAACAAAAACCCGCCAAAACTCAAAAATGCACACCCACCCATCCCATAGATGTGAAATTAAAAGTATAGAGCAAATTGTAATGATCGCAAAATGAGCTTTATTAAGCAAACAAAATTGCTTATGTTGCTCATTTTTAACTAATCTCAGACTTTCATTAATTCCTACATTAGAGGACAATAAATCAGGAAATGGACGATGTGAGAGAAGTAAATTTTTCAGACCCTAATGATGAAGTTAATTTTTCAGACCATCATGTTGAACTTGCTCAATTTTTTTAAAATATATATACTTCTTTCTTCTTTGGAGGACAGATCTCCATGTCATTTTAGAAATTGTCTTTGAAACCCCCCTCCATTTCCAAAGCAGTTTGTCACAAAACATATGAGTGATATTAGAAACATTGAGACATAGAAACAGAGCGAGTCAGAAGAGGCTTCTCAGGCCATCTAGTCTGACCCCCGGCTCCAGCCAGCTCCGTTCACGACATCCCTGCCACGTGCATGTCCAAGAAGCCAGATGAAGAACTACTCAGAAACTTTGGAGTAGTTCCCAGCCTCTGGAGTTTAGTTCTCTCGGCCTCCCATATAAAAAGAGCATCTTCAGATGAAGAAGCAACAGTATATTCCTTGGGCAGATGAATGTATGTATGACCACCACTGGTTTTCGGTTTGTTTCTTTGTCTTTTTTTGCACCAATGACGTTTTTGGCATATGACTAGACCCCAGAAAGCTTGCCAGTATCCTCTCACATCCTTCGATCTTCACAGAGCTGATCAGGCGGGTTCACACGACAAAGGGAAGGTGTGGTGGTTTCTTGCGTAGAGGATTCGTTAATATTATTTATTTATTTTATTCTTTGGCCAGAGCGACTTAAATTTTACTTTATCCTGCTAAATTGTATTGTTTTATATTATGTTATTTATTTATGATTGTGAGCTGCCCCGAGGCTTCGGCGATGGGGTGGCATAGAAGTCCTCTAAATAAATGAATAAATAAATCCGTCATGTCGCCTAGACCAGTCATGGTATTTCAACATAGTATGTTTGGTTTGTAGTAACCATGGTAAGAAACAAAGGTCTGTTCTATGGCATCCATGGTTTCTCTGATCATCTGAACCCAGCATTGTGGTTTCCATGGTTCTGGTACACAGCTAGCACGGAGTCCCCTAGAAAGAGCAGCCGCTGCAACAGGAGCTTCTCCATCCATCCCACGTGGGATTGAAATTCACATGTGGTGGCTGATGGGATCCTTGCCAGCAGCAGGATGACTGTGTGAGAAGGGTAGAAACCAGGTTAGCACAAAAAATAGTTAATCATCTCTCAGATATATCCGCATGAAAAACCATGCTCTGTGCAAACCACACAAAGCTGCTTCTCAAGACGTGTGAACCCGGCTGTTGTGTTTCACAACTGTATTTACACTAAGCTACCGAGGATGCATCCACATCAAAAAAGTTTGTTAAATGAAAAAGCATTCAGCACACAACTTCCTAAGCAGCTACCATTCACCTGAGGAACGTCAGCACTGAAACGTAGGAGAAAATAACTCTGCCTTCTGCGAAGGATGTCCATGTCATGCCTTAAAAAAGGAAACCAGCACACAATCTCTTGTAGATGCTGTTGCTATCCATCCCCTTTCTGATGTCCCTAAAGAAAAGGACAGGATTTCAAAAATACTATGTAATAACACATGGATAGAGTATCTCTCAGGACAGAGCACCCTCACATACTCTGGATGGAGGAGGTCAATTTTTCTCCAGGGTTAGGGCTGCTCTTCCCAGGTGGTTCTCTTGTTCTAGGGTTCGTGTTGTCCGAGTTTGGATGACCCAACAATCATGGTTCGTGCTGTCCAAGTTTGGATGACCTAACAATCATTCATGATAGAATAAACCCAAGAATCCCAGCTTGAGTCTCTGACATTTCCAGGTAGGACTGGAAAAACTGACTGAAACACTGAAGAGCTGCTGCCAGTCCGTGTTGGCAATACTAGGGTAGATGGACCAATAGTCCAAATGGACCAAGAATCCAAAACAGTATCAGCTTCCTGTCTTCCTATGAAGGAAAGTAATGAGTTACTGGAGGAGCAGTGAGACACAGTCATAATAAATAAGCCCAGACTGTCTTGCCTAAGCCTCAAATGGATTATACCACCACCATCACATTTTACTAAAAGGGAAAGTAAAACATGTGGCACCAAGGTTTTAGTCTGAGTCATATGAAAATGTGGAACAACTGTCAGGAAGGTAAGGACACAATTGTGTAGACATGGGGAAAGAAGTTAAAGCATAAATAGACAGATAGAAAGGAGCAATTTCTGGATTTTCAGAACCCCAAGATCTACTACTCAGAAGCATGGGTGAAAAACATGCACTTAGAATTAACGAGGAGGGTGTGTCTGAACAATTTCCAACCCTAGGAGTGCATCAATCATGTTTGCTTCCACATCAGGCTCCCCTCCTACAGTAATCCCTGCTAGCTACCCCAAGCTTCCTTAATTTCAGCATTTAAGTGTAATGTAAGTGGTCAAAGTCATTTTGTTGTTGCTCTTGTTAAACAACCCGCAGTCAGAAATGAATTTGAAATTCAAAGTGGACAAAGTGACTGGCAAGAGTTAAGGAATAAGCCACCCTGTGAAACAATTTAACGCACACTAGAAATATGTCCTTTAAAATTGTTCATGGCTGGTACCCTGCCTCCAAGGAACCCATCCAATCTCCCCAGTGGTGCAGAAATCAGGAATGTACTGACATATTTGATGGGACTGAAAGACGTTCAGATATTTGAGTAGCAGAAATATTTGGGAAGGATTTAATTATAAATCAACATATTCCAAACTCACCCATTCTCTAGCCTTGTGGAATCGCTTTCTGGGAGAAGCTAGCAATCTGAAGAACAAGTTGTTATTTACTCATTGAATTGTGGCTGCCAGATTCACCATTATGAGGTATTGAAAAGGGTTTAGATTTCAAGGATTAAATTATTGGTCCAAAATGGTACAGCAAATGGCCTTTATGGAAAAACAAATCTCATAAGATGAATATGGGTCTAAGTAAGCATGATTCATTTTATGCCAACTGGCAGAATTTTATTTATTTATTAAAAGCTTTTCCATCCCGTCCCCTACAGAATGTTTCAGGACGGATTTTATTGATATAAATAGGGTAGACAATCATTATAATATTCCTTTACATTAAAAAAACATTTTGGGCACCATGAAGAACTTTGAAAAGAAAAATGACTGTATCATTGTTCAAATAAGCAATTTAGGTTGTAACTGAGACCTTTATAATCTTGTACCCAATGCTTACCTAAGTATTAAAAATTATTTTATAATATGTATAATTACTGTAACACTGATGGAATACATGTGATCTTCTGCATTGTTTATTTTTGTTCGTCGATTTGATTGTTCTTGTATTGATTGGTATAATAAAAATATAGGGTGGGGGGGACTGGGGTGTCAAAAATCTTTGCCCATTCACTGCAAACCAACTCTCGGTAGCTCTCAACCTGCCTTCAGCCCAATCTAGAACGTAAAAAAACCTTTTCCATTCTTTATTCTATAGCCATCAAGTAGCTGTGAAAAATAGCTATGAAGGAGAGAATAACTACTTTTGTTGATCGGATATTATGCAGCAGTTAAATATTGTAGCTAATGAATAAAATCCATGAAGAAGTTCTCCTCCACATGACCACTGGAAGGGTCAAGCGTTGCACAATAAGGTTCATACAGAAGAACTTTGCAAGGTCTTTTTGCCTAGGGAGAAGGTGTTTTCTTAGTTCTGTATTTTTAAAAGCAATAAGCTAAAAATTGATAAGAAAATAATGGATGCTTGCAATTTCCTCAATTTCTTTGCTTCCCAAAATTGCTTTTAAAGATCTTAATACTGAAGCCTGGTGAACAAATCCTTTAGAAACCATCTTTATGAATTCAATTTTTTTTTTCTTGCAAAAAGCTAGTCCTTAATTAAATGGAATTCCACTGATTTCTGTTTCCAAGTTCTTCCTTAATTGTAAACTGGGGCTTATTTTATTTAAATAAATAAATTCTATTTGCAAGTTTATTCCAGAGAAAATTAAAATAGAACCCCACCCCCATGCCCTGTTCTCTTTTAGATTAGTATTTTACAGTATACTTACCATTGTTTTACTTTTGAAGGCTATAACAGAATTTCATTTTAATTACCTGAACTAAAAGCTTTCAAGCCCGTCAGATCGCCTTTTAAGGTATTAGCCAATTCCGTAACCAATTACCCACATTCTCTGTTAGTTATTGCAAATGTGACCTTTACTTTGAATTTGATTGCAAGTTTCTTGCGGAGGGTGCCTAACTCTCTCTGTGTCTAAGTATGGCTATTGTCTTCACATGTGATGACTGCGGTTAATTTTAATACACTTTGATGGCTGGAGAACAAATAAGTGTCTGTGACAAAGTGCAGAGACATTTGAAGGAGGCTAAGCTGGGCCTGTAATGAGTGGGGATCAGCCAGCTAAGAGGCCTGCCAGCGACAAACCAAGAGACCTGCCGCAACCCAGACAAAGAGGAATGCCTGCCTATCTTGCAGGTAATGAGAAACTCATTACCGGGGCTTACACACAAGAAGCAAAAAAGCACACCAACAAGCAGGGTGGGTAAAAATAACTGTAATTATCAAAACACAGAAACAAAGCCTCGAATGAGGTGTGCCCCAGCTTTCCTGTTAAGGAAAGCATTTGATCGGAACGGGTAAGTGCTAAGCACCTTTCTAGGAAGTGTGTTTTCATAACAGTGGCCAGATGCTGCAGACCACAATTTCCAGAGGCTCAGACGATGAGACACGGAGGGGAGGAGTCCTGGAGGGGAGGGCGGTGCCTGACTAATTGTGGGCGGAACCGGCTGCAGCAACCTGGTAGAGGCGAGGGCAACTGCCGTGCTCAGCATGATGGGCCTAGAACTGAGAGCTGTAGGAGACCCTCCCCTCCCCTCCCTAAATTTTCATTATTGTCCCCTGCATTTTGCATACAAATAACGATCTCTATTACAAACTTTTAAGAAAAACATCAAGAAAGCCCTCCTCTTCCTCCTCTTCCTCCTCCTCCTCCTTCAGGATGCTAGGAGCAATGCCGCCGTGGTATGTGCCCAGA